CTCGGAGCAGACTGTCTTCAGGGCAAGAAGCTCACACGGCTTCACCTCCTGGGTCTGACCTTGGAGCATTCAGCATATGCCCCTCCATGCGCTTCCCACAGCGAGTCCGCCCAGGCGGGGTCCTGGGAAAGCCAGAGGGTTCTGCACCCCCACTTCGCAGTCAGACGTGACTCTCAGCCAGCGAGTAACACAGAGGTTTATTAGATGACAGGAACACGGTCTAAAACAGAACTTGTAGGTACAGAGAACGGGACCCCTCAGCCGGGTCCATCCTGGGGGGCAGCGAGCCAGACACCCCCATCTGCCCTCACTCCTAGTCCCCAGCCAGCCCCAAACTGAAAACCCCCTCCAGCCCCTCCTCCTCTGGGCTCTGTCACCTGATCTCTTTGTTCTCCCACACCTTTAGAAATCCCCTTGCAGGGGGGAAGGCCCCTGGCCATTAGTTGCCAGGAGACAAGAGTGTCGGCCATTATGTGCACTGGCCCTTTGCTCTGCAACAATCTCACCCCCTAGAGATTTAAGAAATGCATAGGGGAAACTGAGGCACCCACACAGTATTAGAGGAAACATGAAGAACAGTCCCACTTCGTCAGAGAGGGGGCCCTGCCTATAGTCCCCATGCCCCACCCCAGAGGTGGCTGCATCTCAGCTCCTGGTGACAGGTCCCTGTAGCAAGTGGAAGAGCGTGAACGTTAGCAGCCCCCCTGAAAACGGCGGGGCCATTGCGAGCCGAGAACTGCTCTGGACAGAGACGTTTTCAAAGCCAGGCAGCAGATTCAGCCGGCCCCCACCCCACCGTGGAAATTAACCGGAGTCATGCGGCTAAATCCCCTGGGCAGATTGGAAATGTCAAGGCACAGCTGGCTGGGTTGTTTCGGTGCAGAGCCCCGGGGTGGGGGCCGGGCGCCCGATTGCTTTTCAGCCAGCGCCGCCGTCCGGCCAGCCCGGGCCGAGTCCTGCTGGTCCAGGCCTGGCCCACTAGCGATTTACGCCCAGCGGCTCGTGGGAACGACACCCCCACCGTGGCTGGGCTGCGGGGGGCGAGCCGGGGGCTCCGTTCTCAGCCCGGTGGGACAGACGCTGGGGTCTAACCTGAGCCCAACACCCCCCGGCTTATTAAATCATGCCGATCTCTCTACACAGCTGGCGGGGGGTTTTCCGGGGGGGGGGGGAAGGGGGGGTTGCGGCAAGATGTGAGCAAAAAAAAAAAAAAACCCCATTCCCGTTCTACGCTGCCAGAGTCACGTCGCTGGCTCGGCCTCGAGCAGCGGGAGGGATCCTTGTCTGCTCCAGGGCCCGAGGAATTGGGGGGGACGTGTGAGAGAGCGGCAGGTCCCCCCAGGGCTGGCTCAGGCTGCAGGAGGTGAAATGAGGAGGAGGCTGGAAAGGGGGCAAGGAGACGGGTTAGAGCAGGAGCCGAATGGAGCTCGCAGCGCCGACGGGCAAGTGAAAGATCATTTCATCAAAGCGATTAGGCTCATTAACCAAAGCGGCTGCCTGGCTGCGCCGGGACAGGGAAGGAGCTGCAGTGGGGGGGGGGGGGGGGG